ACTACAAGGCAGAGATGGGGAGGAGGATGGGGAGAGATAATCTGGGTATTGACAATGTTCCTTGGGCTACTGATGGTGGGGGAAAGAGAGAGTGCCTAGCACCATGGAAAGTCTGGGTGTTTGCACAAGAATTCATCCTAGAGGGAAGAGAGAGCCACACTTCAGGCCTTAGGGAGTCACCTTCTCTTCCCTCTTTCCTGACTCTTTACAAGGCAAAAATTGGGAACCTCTTAAATTAGTCAGCAACTTGGTCAAACTGTTCCCCTACTGTCAGGGTAGCTATTGGCTTCTTTTTCTTACTCATGTCTGAAGAAATCAATGTCATTCATTCATGGGCCTAGATTTTACCTGAAAATAAACAGCTACATACCCTCATGGAACAGTACAAGATGAACTGCGTTGTTGAACCCTGCCTCATTAAATTGGTATTTCTAAATCAGAGTTTCTCTTGGGTCCTGTTGAATGAAAGGCACACATCAACTTTTCTCTTGGTGCACAAGGTCACAAGAATTCAGACATTTGGAGGCAGCCATAGGACATTCCATGAGACTCGAAGGTCACAGCGAGGACAGTGAGGTCCCTGGGAATTCCCGTCAGGGGTTGAGTACTTCAGGGGTTTCCTTCTTGCTCCTTGAATGACCCCCACAGGGTCTCATAGGCAAGATCGATTTTGCTGAACATTTCCACAGCAGTGTGGAGGAAAGGGGTGGGGGGGTGGCTTATCACCAAAACGGGATTTTAATTTCATTTTGGACGGAGAAGCTTTTCTTCGTTATCTCTAGAGATATGTGTAAAGCAGATTTTTTTCCACGGTCTGTTTCCTGACTCCAACCTCGAATCAAGGACAAAAAGGAGACTGAGCTGCTTTGAAAACAACCTTTTCCTTTGTGAAGCAAAGGAGCGGGGGTACGTGGAGATGGGGGGACTTAGGGAAGGCAGAGAACTGTGACTGAGTCAGTTCACAGCTAACAGAGACTGAAGAGGCCTTCCCATGTCTTCACATGCCCTCCTGTAAGGCTGTATGGCTTTTTCCTGCTTTTCTTATCATATATTTCACGAAATGCCCAAGTCTCTCTTTCCCAAGGGTCCTCTTTTAACATACCTCACTTTAGCAAACCATTTATTAGTGTTTATTATGTGCCAAGACTTTATATGTATTATCTCATAGTTCTCCCAATGGCCGTATGAGGCAACCACAATCACTGTCCTATTTTCACAGACAAGGAGAGGCAGGCACAGTGAGGTTGAATGACTTGCTTAAGATCATCCAGCCAGGAGATGGCAGAGCCAAGATCCAAACCCAAGACTTTTTTACTTCAAGCCTGTACATTTAAACACCACTCACACTTTTTCTGCAAACTGATATTCAGGCGAGTGGAGGATGCTGCTAAATGGGAAGGGACTGATGTTTCTCGAGCATCAAATGGGTACCAGCTGCTGTGCCCGGGGATGTGTCCTCATTCTCCATAACCTTCTATGATTATTAATACTAGTGTCATCCACCCCCACCGCCAAGCTGAGGTTCAGGGAAGTTAAGTAACATGCCCAAAGTCACAAATCTAGGCAGTGGCAAAGCCAGCCTTCAAACCTGTGTCTATCTGACTCCAATAAAATAGAACACTGGAGAGACCACAGCCATCTGCCTCCCCCAGCAAACGGACATATTGCTTTATGTTTCCTTTGGGTTTTGCTAGGCAAGGCATACAGCTGATTCTCCTGATGAAGAGTAAACCGTTTATCTTAATTTTAAAGTAATCCATAACATAGTAAGTTATTTTAAAGTTACAGTATTTTATAATAAAAAGAGAGAGATAATAACAAGGGTTGGCAGAAGAGTGCAGAAACTGGAACCTCATGTACTGCTGGTGAAAATGTAAAATGGTGCAATTTCTTTGAAGACTGTACAGCAATTTCTTTAAAGATTAAACATAGTTAGCATTTGATTCAATAATTTCATTGGTAAAGATGTATCCAAGAGAATTGAAGAACTATGTCTGCACAAAACCTTGACATGAATATTCACATAGCGTTATTCATAATAGCCCCAAAGAGGAAACCACCCAAACTTCTATCAACTGATGAGTGGATAAACAAAATGTGGTACATCTACACAAGGAAATATTATTTGGCAATAAAAAGGAATGAAGTACTGATATTTAGTACAATGTGAATATATATTCTGAAAACATTATGCTTGGTGAAGACAGCCAGTCACAAAGGGCCACATACTGTGTGATTCCATTTATGGGAAATGTCTAGAATAGGAAAATCCATAGAAACAGAAAGTAGACCCATGGTTGTCAGGGGTTGGAAGAGAGATGACAGCTAAAGAGAACAAGGTTTCTTTTTGGGGTGATGAAAATGTTCTAAAATTGATTGCAGTGACTATACCTTATAAATATACTACAAATCATTGAGTTGTACACTTTAAATGGGTGAATTGTATGGTATGTGAATTATATCTTAATAAAGCTGTTATATATTTATATTTTTTAAAACTGCACCATAAAAAAACTATTATGCATTTGGTAGGCTCTCAAGAAATACTTATTGAATAAATGTACCACAGTACTTTATGATTATTTTAAAATAATACGAGCTTGTTTAAATTCAAATTGTCCTTTAGGAGTAGATAGTTTATTTTGCAACAATGTTGCATGAAGTGTGCCCTAGACTCAACTGTCCTGGAGTTGAATGCTGACAATGACTGCCATCGCAAGATTGCCGAGCTGTGGGCCTCAATGGTGGAAGCTTAGCAATAGCCCCACAAAGCAGGAATTCTCCTTCTACGCCAGTGGGTCCAATTGTGGTCAAAGAACCACCGGTAACTTACTGACAATGGAGATGTGACTGAGTGTTGACTGGCTTCTCATAACCCTCACTGGGCCTAACTCAGACCTCCGGAGAAGCTCCAGTGTGACTTAGGGCCACTAGCTAATGAAGTTGTCACTTGGGTCCTGGAATCTGGGAAGATGAACAACCTTCCTTCTGTACTAGAGCAACTCCAGAGAGCAGGTTCTGGTAGCACTTGTCTATTCATGGCCACATTTGAGCTCAGATGAAAGAGTGTGGAAAGAAAAAATATCAATAAATTCCAGAGTGAACATGGAAACCAGTATGCAGGGTTGAGGTGGAGGGGACATGGAATAAATAAATGTCCAAACTTGAGACCTAGCTGAGGAATTAGCTTGATGTGAACAATTAAAGAAAAGCCAGGGGAAATGTATCCAAATGCTGAGTGCACTGAAGAAGAAAATGGTAGAGTATTAGTGGATTTAAGAGCAAAACAAATGAGCTCAACAGACAAGCTTTTTATGAGCAGACAAAGTCCAGAACCTAGCAATGACTAGACAATCCCTTCAAGGAATGGTTTTCAAGCCTTCCTCATGGGGGGACAGAAATCATCCAAAGATACTTTAGAAAGCATGTATTTTACAGTCTTAAATTTTACAGTAACAACAACAAAATGAGCCCTGGCTTTGGGGAAGAAAGCCCCGAGGTCCCTAGGTAAAATGGAAGTGGAAACATGGTACAAACTGGAAGACTTATCCGAGGCATAGAAATTCAAAGGTGCCGTTGCTGAGCTCCTGACTTCACATTTCTAGGGAGTCACTGGTATTGTGTTGGAGAGAATTCAATCCAGTCAAGAAAGCGTCCTGGAGTGAAACAAAACATAACTACAAAAAACATGCTGTGTACTCCCTGTGTAAAGGATAGCCAGGAGCTTTTGTGTATTTTATTTCATCCCATTTCTAAAACAACTCTGAGACAGATATTTTAATAGGTGAGGAAGAAACTGTGGCTCAAAGAAATCAAACAACTTTCCCGAAGTCAGACACTAGTAAGTGGCAGGGGTAGAATTCAATTCTGGGTCTTTAAACTTCTTAACCACTATTTTCTCCACTACCTTAGACCTTTCAAAATAAGATTGTCATCATTTTGTCTGGCCATGGGAGGCCTTCTAGAACAAAAGACCGACATTTTGAGAGATGAAAAATCACCATAAAACTAAACAGACCAGAGAGAGAATGCCAAGAGAATAACAGGATGACCTTGAGCTTTGGAACATTTGCAAATCAGGGTACCTAGGGCAAAAAGTATGAATGAAATACTGGTCAAAATAAAAATAGCATTATTACTTTAATAAAATATTTTTATATTCAGTCCCCAAGAACTTACAGCTTCTGATTTATTTTGTCGTCTCTACTTGATGAAGAATGTATAAGAAGAGAAGAATTTGGGGGTTTTAGAGTGGAACTTCTCTTAACGTCACTCGGAGTATCTTATTTAGATTGTAAATGTTAAAATTTACTCTGAGAGTGGTCAATATTTGCCATAGACAACAAACAAACAAAACTGAGAAGAAAAATAATTGTAATAGCTTTCAACTTTTCTTATACAATTCACAAAGATGAAACCATAACAGAAGTTGTGGTTAATTATGTCACTTATCTATGGTGATAATAATTCTCAACCATCAATAATTTTCAACCTAAATCTCCCTTTGGGGTTTTGTGGGGCAAATTTTCCAACTGTTTCTTTCCCTACCAGGAGTAACATCTGGCTAAGCTCCTATCCTTTCTCAATGAAATAAGGTAATAAAAAGGGGTCCTGCACTTGGGGGTCCCAAGGAAAAGGATCTTTTGCTTCTGGAAACTTAACTGCATCCATCTCCAGTAATGGCCACCACACAGACAGCCTGCATGTGCGAACATTTCAGAAGGAAGTATTGAGTCTATTATCTGTTTCAGATATTGGCCCATTAGTTACCAAGTGGAAAGAATACTGGACAGAAATTCAGGGTCCCATGTTCTCTCTACCTTCTGCCACTCATGAGGTAGGTAAACTTCACCAAGGGCTTTCCCCGCTCCTGGTTACAGGATTCTCACCTATAAGTAGAAGGCCTCAGAGTAGAACATCCCTAAAGACTCTCTAGCTCTAGGGCACTTTGGCACCAGGCTCTGCTTAATACCCTGTTTGGGTGATTTCTTAGCAAGTACCTGTTTCTTGGTCACGGTGCCATCCACGGGGTCCACGTATTCAAAGCTGTCTGTCTTTGCCACACTGTAGACATGGCTCCCCACAGCAAACTGCTGGCCAATGAAGGACTTGTCTGTGACCAGGGCCTCCAGGTCCCTCATGATGTAGTATGTCGCCTTGGGCTCTAGCCCCTCATAATCAAACCTGGTGAGGGAGGGCAGGGCATAGGATGAACACAAACCTAATTAGAGAATGAGAAATTAAGTGGGCCTCTTAAGGTCATCTAATCATTGGTTTGGTTTTCATGGAAGAATCACACAGAAAACTACCCCCAACTAATCTCCCCTCTTCCACCTAGCTCTTACAATCCATTCTCTACACAGCAGCCAAAGTGATATTGGAAAAATCAAGCCATGTCACCTCATTCCTTTAAATTCCTCCAAAAGTACCCATCACATTGAGAATGAGACTCAAAGCCCTCACCATAGTCTGGGCACGGTGGGCTCAGACCCTGCCCACCTCCCGACTTTAACTTTGTCTCACTTTCTCCCTTGTTCACTATGCTCGGGCCACACTGGCCTTCTCTCCAGCCTCAGAGACACTTCCCCCTTTCCTGCCTCTGGGTCTTTGCTCTTTCTATCTGTTCCCTTTACCTAGTTAGTATATTCTTCCCCTGGCTACTCAAATAGCTGGTGCATTTTCTTCCTTCGGTTTTCAAACTTATTGTCACCTCCAGAGAGTGACCCTCTCTGGAGTCCACCTAAGATACCTTCCCTCTATCTCCCCTCTCTCTCATCACCCTTTGTATTTTCTTTGGTAGTTATCCAAAGAAAATATAACTTTTCTGTATGTTTGTTTATTATTTCTTGTGTCCTTACAAGAACGGTAAGCTCCCAGAGGGCAGAGTCCTTACCTGTTTTGTTCTTGGCTGCTTCTGGTAAGTAGCAAGTGTTTTTGTAAGTAGCGGAATGAAAGATGGGAGGGAGAGGAGGAAGGGTGGCCAGGGATGACCCAAGGGAGGCAAAGAGAAAGAGGGAGTTCAACATACCATGAAAGTTTCACGGAAACTTGGAAGAAATATCAGCATTTTTCCATTAAAAAAAAAAGTCCTCCTAGCCAAGATCATCAAATGTAACAATGGGGCTGAGAGGTGATTAGAAAAAAAAAAAAAAGTCTAAAAATAACACCTATCTCATTTCTTGTTATGAGGATTAAATATGATAATGGAGACCAAGCAGTTGGCACAGTGCCAGACACAAGTGCTGAAAAGTGTTGATTACTTG